GGGATGCCTTCTTTAGGACTGGTTGGACTACCACCTTCTTTAAAGGGGCAGGCACTCGACCCTCCCTCAGAGAAGCATTGACAACCTCCAGGATCCAGGTCCCAATCCCGTCCTTGGCTTTCTTGAGTAACCAAGATGGGCAAGGGTCCAGTAAGCAGGTGGTAGGACGTACTTGTCCAAGCATCTTGTCCACATCATCGGGCCGCAACAACTGAAACTCATCCATCAATTGTGGACCAGATGGCAACATTGGCACCTCCCCAGCAGAATCTGATTCACTAGTAGAGTCCAGCTCATGACGAATCTGAGCAATTTTCTCCCAGAAATGCTTGGCGAAGTCGTCACAGCAGGCCTTCGAGGGTGGCACGAGATCTTTCTTTGGGACCGGGTGTACTAGCCCCTGTACCACCCGAAATAGCTCCGCCGGACAGCATTGTGAGGAGGCAATGGAAGCAGAGAAGAATTTCTTCTTCGCTGCCCTCACCGCCACAGCTTAGGCCTGATAACGGGCTCTTAAGTGTGTTCGGTCAGATTCATCCTGTGATTTCCTCCACCTGCGCTCTAGACATCTCCCAATCCACTTCATCGCCCGTAGTTCAGGTGTATACCAAGGGGATGAACGGGCTCTGCCAGGTGGGAGAGGACACTTAGGAGCGATCGTGTCAATAGCCCTGGTCATTTCCCCATTCCATAGTTCAACCAGGGCATCGACAGGAGCACCAGCCTTCTCAACCGGGAAATCCCCCAGGGACTTCAGAATCCATCCGGATCCAACCGGCTCCGGGGGCGGACCAGCACAATCAGGTCCACACCCTTACAGAGGGAAAGGCCATTCTTGAGCTCAAACCTCACGAGGAAGTGATCTGACCATGACAGGGATGTCAGGCACAAGTTCCTCACCCTCAGATCACCCTCTTCCTGCCCTGTTGAGAAAACCAGGTCCAGAGTGTGTCCACGTTTATGGGTCGGGCCAATGACGTGTTGAGACAGCCCCATGGCCGCCATGGAGGCCATGAAGTCCTGAGCTGTCCCAGTCAGAACCGTCTCGGTATGGAGATTGAAGTCCCTCAGGACCAACATCCTGGGAGTCTTCAACACCAAATCCGAGACGATCTTCATCAGCTCAGGCAGGGAGTCTGTTGGGCATGGTACACCAACAGAATCTCCAGTCTGTCTCCAACACCAAGTAGATACATTAACAATAGTTTGGCTGTATATCCTTCAACTTTGCCTCCCTTTCTCCTTCCCTTTGTTGAATTATGAATTATAAGCTTCTTGGGGCAATGATATGCCATTTTTCTACTTTGTGAAGTCCCATGGAATGTTAGATTGCTGCAAATGGGATGGTTAGACTACTGCAATCCACTGCACATGCATGGGACTGCACTTGAAGACTGTCCAGAGACTGCAGGCACTACAGAATGCAGTCACAGGGCCCAATTCAAGCTGATAATACTAACATGCAAAGCCCAACATGTCTAAAACTCATCAGCATTAGTGCCTGAGTTGTGGAACAGTCTCCCTTGAAAAGGAAGGGGGTGTAAACCTTTGAATAATGGGTGTTCAATTGCCCAGGCAGCTTTAGCTTTTGCGTGACACAGAAATGAATGCGTGAATGATCAATGGTAATACATGCATACCCCTGTTTCATTTTAAAACATATTTACTATTATTTGACTGTAGTAAGCTATCCTAAGTTCATATCAGCTCTCCTGATGAGGGGTAGGATATAAAAATTATAAATAAATATTTCTATAAATGTTACCCGATTTTTTAAAAAAGGCCTAATAAAGAGATACTGACATTGGCTTGAATCAATTGAAAACCCTCACATGGATCCCTGTCTTACTCTAAGAAAATGTTAAATGTTTCTGGCTTTCGAGGAGAGGGTACTTTTTCTCTCTTTTTCTTCTGTATGTTCAAGGCCTCTGCACTATACGTCCTATCAAGATCCCAATATGGTTTTCCAGTCCATAACCAAAGTCAATCCATCACTCGATTCCCTATGTTGACAAGGTCAGAGGTGGAAGGGAGCTTTGGCAAGCCTCCAAAAAAACAAGACTCCTTTGAACAGCCAGTCAATCACATTCAATCAGTCAAGGAAAAACTGGAAGCCTTCCTAGGTTTGGAATCTTGGGAGTTTCCTTCTACCATTTCACTGCCCGCTGGGGGAGAATTAACACTGCTCCGAATTCTTTACTGATTCAATCATTTTCTTCCAGTTCATTAATTCTCCTTTAGGTGGATGCAGGGCACATTTTAAAAGGGGAGGGGAGGCAACAAAACACCCTAATGAAATAATAGACTAACTTGTCTCTTCTTGTAACATCACAAAGTCTTCTCACTTTCACTTGCTGCGAGTATAGGGCCAAGAGGGGCTTCTCTCGTTATTTTTAACTGGTGCCAGAATGGGCTGAAGAGAGTGGAGGCGATTATCCAATTTGAAGCTTAGCAGATCCAGCGATTTGTAATTGCTTGAAAATACAGCCTGCAGATGAGGGTGATTCCTCGCTTAGCCAAACAAACGAAAATCAATTAGTGTCAGTTTCCTTCTGCGCATTGTTATGTTTCGTGCAGTTTGTTTAAGGGAACGGCTGACACTTTTTCATACACATCTTGTGCTGTTACATTTCTGTTTAACTAAGATGTCATGTCGCTTGATTTGCTCAGAATCAAGGCATGCCCAGCTGAGCTTGAAGGCTGAAATTCTTGTGCGGAATATTTAGCCCGTCGCCTCCTGGCTGCTCCGACCCAAAAAAGCCACGGCAAAATTGGCAGGGGACGACTTGATTTTATCATCCGGAAGGGCTGGCCAGCCTTGGATTTTGTACTCGAGTGCTAATTTCACTTAGAGGAGACCTCTGCTCGCCTGAGCAAGGGAACACCTCCGTGGATGGACCGCAGCGCCGCAGACGCCCCAGACCACGAAAGCCACACTGCGCGATATTTGCAGAACGAAGTGGCCGATTCCCTGCAATACGCAGAATGTGATGGCGGCAGAAAGAAGCGACAGAACAGACCACGCCACTGATTAACGTAACTGGGATGCACCATTAAGAATCTACCTTTCCCTGAGCCGGCCACATACTTAAGTCAAGAACAGGCTTCTTCAGCAAGGGGTGGGGGGCAGTGTAGTACCACCTTTGTTGCTGCAGAGGTCAAGGACCCCTACCCTGGCACCGTGTGTGCATGCACACTTTCATGTGGGGAAGCTCCCACACAACCTGCAACCCCAGGCACTTGGGGATGTGTGTAAAGCCAGGTGCTTCTAATGGGTCCATTGTTGCTGCAGGGTTGTGTTGTGAGCACAGAGAGGAGCTTTTCGGAGCAAGGGGTATGGAGGGAGGCACCAGCAACTGTGGTAACCTGCTCAAAATATGGTCAGCGCCAGGAGACCTTTTTATTGACCCTCTATTTTAACTGTTTTGTAATATTGTATAGCATTTTATATCTTAGTGCTATTGTCCCTTTCATTAGGTTGTTGAGGCCCCCTCGGTGCGGGTGTTCAAGGACAGGCTGGACGTCCACATGTTGGGCATGTCGTGAGCGGAGCCGACTGGTGCTGGAGGTCAGACTAGATGGCCCAGGAGGTCCCTTCTGACCCGCTCTGTTTCTATGTTTCTATTATGTCTTTATTGGTAATGGTTTGAGGTTATTGTGAAGTTTTATTGTGTTGTTTTCGGTTGCTTGACTGCCTGATTTTGTTGTTATATCATTTGTTAATGGAATATTATTTGTTTTATTATAGTATTTTGTAATTCTGTAACCTGCCCAGACAGTCATTTTGTCTAATGGGGTGGGGTGCAAATCAAATCAAATCAAATCAAATCAAATCCAAAAATAAACACAGTGCCTGAATACAACACCTCTCTTCATCCCAACCTATGGACTTTTCTGAGTCAGAGCTTGGTGTCTCTATCACAATACTTTTTGCACTGACACACAGCAACTCTCCCAAGACAGGCCTCCTTCTGCGTCTCCCTGGAGATGACTGGGATTGGGCCTGGGGCATTTCTGCACATCAAAGGGCATGGTCCATGGCCCTTCCCTCTGCAGACGGGGAGAAAAGATCCTGCTTCACCCTGGTGCTGGTTTTCTGCTTTGCGGAAGTTTCCTCATGCAGGAAAGAATTGCAAATGTTGGCTCTTAGGTGCCCACAAACCTGCATTAAAGCAGTCTGGTTTAGGAATGGGGGCACGGCCTGGCCATGTGCAGTGCGAGCAGCGAATGCGCAGCTAGAGGGAATTGGTTTCACTCTTCTCTGCTCGAAAAAACAGCTTTAACACTTTTGAAACTAATAACCAGTGGCGGCATTTTGCTTTCTTCCACCTCCCTCCCCATCTTTTCCCCTTTGTGTCATGTCTTTTAGCTGGGGGCAGGACCTTTCTCAATATTAATCTTGGTAAGCCAGCTCAGAAGCCTTGTTTGACTAAAGAACTGAGTGGGGGAAAATCTATTACTGCTATGATAATAATCTTCAAACATTTGAGGAACTGACAACAGAACAAATTCATTTGCTTTTGCTCCAGGGACTAGGGCCCAAAACAAGAGGTTCAAATTATAAACAAAATAGGGATTCTGATTTAAAAAAAACAAAACAAAACAAAACCCAAAAACCTTGGGAAGAACTGTCTGTTCATATAACAGAAAGTTTCTAATGGAGATTTTTAAGCAGATTTGGGATGTCACCTTTCAGGGTATGTTTTTAAATATCAGATTTCCTATGTCAACAGAGGGTTGAAGCAAAGAATCTGTGGTAGCCTCCATCCCTGCAATTCTACTTTTTAAAAGAGATCCCCAACATCTTTTCAACCACCAAGGCTATGGAAGAAACAGCCCTCCGTGGGACAAATATCCCCCAAATCGGGACCATCCCTGTTAACAGAGAAGATTCAAGCACATATCCGTCCCTTTGTTATGAAGGCAAAGATGCAGCCGTGGATTCTATGACAAATCTTATGGTTTGTCCCCTCCACCAGCATCCCGTAAAAGGTTCATACCTTCAGAAGGATCAAGTCTTCGTGCCCTCCGTCCATGTTTTGAGTTGTTATGAACAAACATATTGTCAGACACTGCCAGTACATGTCCATCGACGTTCACTGTTGTAGATAACACGACCTGGATATTAAAGAGGCAGGGAAGAAATGGCCATTGAGTTACTTTGCACCAGTCCACATTTTATGCATTAATCACTCAGCTGAGTTTAAAATCCTGTTCTCATTGTGCAAAATGCAGTTGCGCCACCCGGGGCTTATGCCCCGCTCAGTGCAGGAGGAAAGATCTTTCTGCCTCACATTCATTCCACTTAGCGCTGCATCTTAAGAACTGTAACAAGCTGTGGCAGGGCAGCATCAGAGGCCATTAATTCCTGCTGGCCAACCTCTCGCCTCCTGTCAGAGAATGTCACGAGCTCTGTCCAGTTTTCCACAGAGAGCACCCCCTGTTGGGAATATATGGCAGGGGGCAGCATCTCATGCACACGGAAGGTCCATGCACCTCTGGGAAGCTTTCCAAAGCAGAATCTCTGACTCCAACTGGGCTCCGTGTGAAAATTTTACCTGGATTATAAAGCGTTGTTGTCCTTTTAAGTCATGGCCTTTCTTGTGTGTGCTCTGGGGGTGTGTGTGACTCTTTCCTGTTGCTTCTGTTGCCCCAAGTGGCAGGACCACCGCTTGGATAGGCAGTTCTGCTCTCCTGGTGCTCCACTGGCTTTTCTTTCTTGGACAGGCATTTTTTCCCACTTGCTTTTCTTTCTTGCACTGACAATTTTCCCCCTTCCTTTCTTTTTCCCAGCCCCCCTTTCCTTTGCTTTATTGTTCCAAAAAACTTTTAAGAGAGTTTGGACACACTGCCGGGAAAGCTGCAGCCATGCCCAGCACCTGCATTTCTCCAAATGACCTCTAGGTGGTACAGCTGCACACTGGGGAAATCAAGATGGCGGGTGCAACTGCAGCATCCCTTTGCATCTTGATGGTGCTTGCAAAGAGTGAAGTGGGTGGGAAAGAAAAAGGAATGAGTAGGGCAGACTGAGAGAAGAGCAGTGGGGCGGGGAAGAAAGAACACAGAACTGGGACAAGAAGAGATAAAAGACCAGAAAGATAAAAGGAGCAAGTGAAAGCATGGCTGGGGGATGGGAGAACCAGAGGAAGAGATTATGGAAGGGCAGTGGGAGTGGGGAGAGCCCAAGAATGAAGGGAAGAGACCATATTTCCCAGAGTCCCATCAATACAAGCTGCACCACTGGGCTTCCCTCTCCTAGGGCAGAGCCAAAGGTGCTTTATTTTGGTCCTAAGCTCAAAAACCTGCCAGGAGTTCTTCATGTTTGGCTCTTGAGGGATTCCCATCACAGAGACATTCTGGTGGACCTCAATGAAAGAAACAGCTGCAGCTGTACTAGGGCCACACTGAGTCTGAATATGTTTGCCCCTTCCCACCAGATGTTTGTGAATTCCGGGGAGCAGAGTGACATGCTTTGGTGGAGTGACATGCTTCTCTCTCCCCTTGATGGGGTATTTGGAAGATTTTTTTTGTTTGTTTTTACTTCTGCATGCTTCTCTGCTTCCCCAAGAAGGCAGCATTCCTGGCTTGGACCACAGAAGTCTGGCATCAGATGGTGTGAGGCAAACTTCATGTGTTTGCACTCATCTCTTCTGCACAAAGAGCCAATTCATGGGTGGTCACTGGGGGTGGAGCGGGGCGCACCCCACTTGATCCTCTCCCCTCAAGACAGGCAGTTTTGGAAGGTCTGAAAAGGCCGTATATACCGTACGTGCAGGACAACTCCATTCCTCTCGAGGCACATACCAGTAACTCGGACATCAGCAGTCCTGCACCTGCATTCATGACGGGGCATCAAGGGATACAGGATTTGCCAAGGACTCTGTGCATTGTTTCCCAAGGCACTGAAACAGCACGGGACAACACTCAAACTGCAAAAATCAATAGCATGGACAGGCTGGCCCAAAGTCCTTGGGATGATTTTGAAATGCCAGCTTCTAGTAACTAGAAAACTTCCAGCATTTCATCACACAGACAACAGTAGCAACGAAAGACAGGACGGGAAGACTGCCCATGCAGAATTTAGCTGCCAGGTAGCCGGAAGGAAGTGTGGTGTGGGTGGTGGGCAGAGGAGCCGACTGGGTCTGAGAAACCAGGACGGATATCCAGGATCAGCTAGGCCGTTCCCCCACTGATCCTGGGATGGCTACCTTCTCTTAGTCTAAGCCACCTCACAGAACAGTTGCAAAGGTAGCAGAAAGTTCATCTGCTCCCAGATCCGCCTTCCTGCACACGAAAACCATCTCCCCAGCTGCTTTTCCCATCTGAAGGCAGGCTGACATCAGTGACGGTCAGGGCTTTGTCACTGGGGGCACCATGGCTGTAAGGGTTTTTCCTAAAGAAGTTCGCCAAGCGCCAGCACTACTGTCCTTTGGAGCATTTTTTATTTAGTCGGTGATACAACAGTGATACCATTTTGTTTTAGCAGTTGGCTTTTGGCTGAGCCATTTGCTGGTGCGTTGCTTTCATGCTTTGTAAAGCACTCTGCAATCCAATTTGATGAAGGGCGGGATACAACTGTTTTAACCAAAGAAACAGAATGCCACCTGGGCTGCTCCAATTTGTTGGCGTAAGGAAACAGCAACGTGGAATTCAGCCAAGGTTGGCAAACGGTGGTGATCAGCCAAAACCCATCCTTATTTTCATTCATGTTTTTCCAATTGTGTGCCCCCTTCTTCACCCATTGATTGAAGCATATCTGTGTGCATTTTCACCAGAATGCATTCTTCACAAGAATGCTTTTTCTTTCCACACAGTTTTCAATGTATGCATGCAGATGCACACAGTATTTCAGAGTCCACTAATCGCACTGTGAGCCTGGAAATGTATGGGCTTCAGCCGCCGACGGTGTCCAAGTCCACATTCAGTCCAGAAGGAGCAATCGGGATAAAACCTGATCAGAAATGAATGGAAATGAATTTCTCTTATATCCTTGCCCACGAGTTTTGTGTATGAAGCAAGGTGGTGCTTCTCCACCATCCCATGCAGGGAAGCCAACCGGACTGGCGACGGAAGCACCTGAAGGAAGCAGGCTAACACAGGGGGCACCAGACATGCTGTGGGGCACATGCAGTTCTGCCCCCTGCCCCCTGGCCACCACATCGTGCCACCTCGCCTCCCAACTGAGGCAACTGCTTCATTTTCCCTAATGGTAGGGCTGGTCCTTTCCATCACACCTCTTACGAAGCAGCTCAAGCATGCAGCGACCACTGCAAAGCGCATGTCTCCATCACGGATGGGTTCGAGAGCCATTTCTTTTCCTTTTGTAACATTTTGTAAGACCGAGAAGAGCTCAGTCTTCCTTCTACCAAAGTATAATTCCCAATACCACATTGTTTCATATTACACAGTCCACTGAACTATAATTTCCAGAATACTGTGTTCCTTTTAGACGAAAGTGCACAAGGCATTTTTACTGTGCTTTCTAGCAGAGCTCCATCTAGTAGCACCCCAATGCAACTCTAAAAGGGGATTGGATTGGACAGATCTGTCAGTTTTGTTTCTCTCCATTTCTCATTATTCTGGTCTTAAATATGGTTCCTCCTGACCACTGAGATTTCCTTTTAAAAGTTCATCTGAAAATTGGTACAACTTTTGTGCGCATGTTCTTTACAATACAGGCATATATGTATGTATTTTTAATGGATGTACACATTGTTGGCAATTCTTTTTCCTAATACAGCCCATTTTCAATGTTCTTTTCAATTGTGTGTGAGAGAAGAATGATGTAATTTCCTCTGAATTCTTTCAAATAAGAAAAGAGAAAGAAGGGATATTAAACTACTAAATAAAAAAATCCATTGTAAAATTTGAAGACATTTCTAAGGATATTCTAAGTTTGGGGGTTTATATTAGTTTGAAAGTATAACATTAGCTCAAAGGGGGAAAATCACAATGCAGATAGAATGAATTTGCCCCCAGTCCTTTAATTATCCCAATTTCTGGATGACGAAAGATCTTCTCAACAGTTTGTAGCCACACTAGCTGTCATGTTGAGAGGCAAATCTCTGGAAGTTGGATTCCTGGGTGCATTTGATACCTAGCCATGATATGTAAAAAAAAAAAAAAAAGATGATTGACTAGGTAGAAATTCAGCTGACAAATAATTGCTCTTAGTTAACTTTGTAATGCATTTGGGTTCTCCTGCTTTGATTAAAGAATTGAAAGTGCTAAATGTTGAGCAAGGGGCAGCAGCGTGGCCTGCAGTTCAGGAGGACAACGTCCTCAAGTTACATAAGGAATACACTTCATTCAGGAGATCAGATAAGCCTGTTTTAGAGGAGAATTGGAACACAATCCTCTAGTTCTTTTCACACGTTTATTTTTGCAATCTGTAATAAATTGAAAGCACCAAGCATATGCCAAGAGAGCCGTGTATGAATGGTATGCTTGTGTTTGTGTTACCACGAATGTCTGAATTTCAGTGATTGTTAACATTTTCATCCTAAACATGATTGCTAATATTGCATTTGGATGTATGTGCATTATTTGGAAGCTGGATTCCTGGGGGCATTTAATACCTTATTATGATTTTTTTTTAATCCTGCTTCTCAACTATAAAGATTCCTGGAGCAGATTCAAAATAAGACTTTCCCTGCTCAAAGAGGCTTATAATCTGAACAAACACACACACAAGGAAAAGGAATGGGTAGGGAAGAGGAAAAGTAAAGTACTTTTTTCAGTAGCTTCTCCTTTCCCCTCTCCTCATTCTCTTTGTATTTTTTAAAAAAATCATATTATATTTCCACTGCACTTATTTTTCTGGCAAGAAACCCAAGATGACTTAGCACCCTGCTCCATTTCATCCTCACACTAACAGGTTGGGCTGAATGAACATGATTGGCCCAGAATTCCAGTGAACTTCATGGGTGAGTCAGGACTAGAATCTGTCTCTCCCAGGCCCCTAGCCCAACTTTCTAGCCACCGCGCCACACTAGCTCTTTGTATAATGGGACCATATTTTTGCATCCTTTCCAAGGTTTCATCACTTTCACTGCATGAGTTTGCTCTTCCTTCCACAGACATTCTATAGCGTTCCTCCCTGTGTTATCTTCACTCCA